TTTTATTTAATTTTTAAAACGGCAGCTTCTTACACTTACATCTTTCATATCATACCTCTCGTGTATGTGTGACTACGTGTATGTATTGTGTGTATTTTTACAAATCCCGATAATCGATAACAGGTATATAATTACTATCCATCAGCTCAAATAATATACGTTTCATTGTGTCTGGATAACCGGAGGCTCATCAGCTCGCCCCATTATATTCCTTTCACAGATAAGATGTAGACAGGCGGGAATCATTAACGCGAAGAACCGCTATTCCTCGGCGCAGCATGACGTTGGATCCGTCAACGACGGGTACAAGAGACGCGCAAACGTCATCCGCAACAAGTTACTCGACAACCCCTGATCCTTGACGCGCGGGGAGATTTTCCCGGCGCGTCGGGGGTGAATCCATGTATCGAGTGCAGGATCGTATCCTTGTATCGCCGGTTCACAGAGAGGCAACGTGGTCGCTTCCATCCAGCGCGACCATCCACGTCGACGCGACGCCTTGATTTATGGGCAGGTTTCGCCGTGTTCAAACAGCGGAAACAAGGACACTGTTGGATTTTCGCATATATACGCGTTAACGATTCAAAATGGCGAGAGATTGCCCAGATTTAACCTCCGGATATTACCTTAGAATATTCGCGACGATTATTCAAACGACCAAGGATAACGTTTCGCTCAATTAACTTTTTCTTTCAAACCCCGCCGTCAAGGATTCGCCGAGATAATTACGCGATGTGCGTAATGCGAATATCCTTCGATAGTGACTAATGAATGCGTTTTAAGAAATATATTCAAATATTTGTTTAAAAATTCGCTTTAAACAATTTACGATTCGCGATAAAATTTTATTGTTATATTTTCAATTTATTTGTCACAATTTTTAATGGATATGACATCCTGATGTGTATTTTACGACAGACATATATTTAATTTCTCCTCAAATGCTTTTTATATTTCATATATAGTGCACACAACAGAAAAATTATAATTAATATAAATACAATACTTTTCTATCTCGAATTTGATCGCAAAAATTATCAATCGTCCAAACGAGCTTTATACATACATTGTTATAGATATCTTTTGATAATAATTCTAATGTGTACGTTAGAAAAAAATTTAAAATATTCAAACATTTGTGTAAAAAATTCTATTTTCCAATTATTTGCCAATTTTTAATGGATATAAATATCCTGACATTTTATGACACACATATTTCTTTTTTTTCCAAACGCGTTTTATATTTTATATATAGCTATGAAAAAAATCATAATTAATATAATTATAATTCTTTTTCTGTCCTGAATTTTATCTCAAAGATTATCGATCGCCAAAAACGAACTTCGCGTTGTTTGAGACGCAAATTTGCCCTATACTCCAGTAGTAACATACACAGTACGTAGACCTCACTTTGGATAATATATAATTACTCCAGCAATAGGATAACACATCTCACACCGTTACAACTCAATTTTCGGATAAATTCTTCAAGTTCCGACAATGGCAAATTATTCGAGAGACATAAATGGATTTCGCTTCAACATCACATTTTATACATTTCCCGATTTCGCGATTAAATTATACAACCAATAATACATTCTCGTGATTTATTCTTATTATTTAACATCGTGCTTGTATATCAACAGTTTATCATTATCGAATGAAAGAGTTCTACTTTAAGGCGGATATTGCATAGAATTGAATTAACCCGTCCAAGTAAATTTGAACGAGTAACGAGACTTTTTAAATGATTATGCACACATGGTTGTAAATATGTACCGTACAGCTTTATCAAAGGCTTATAAAGCCGTAACGTAATAAAGCGGTGCTGCGGAAAATAAGAAATAATTTCCACGACCGCGATGAGCTTACTCGGGATGCGATACGCGTAAAGTAGTTAATTATTCTTATCGCGAAACGCGAATGAAAGAGGGGCGACTGACGAAAATTACAAACTTTGCGACACGCAAGTCATTAGGAACAATCGCCGCGTCGTACAAATCATTAAGAAAATCCCTTTCAGAGCTCCCTTTAGGCGGTTCGTAATATTCAAAACAACTTTATTTACTGTAGAAACTTGTGGGGAAAGAATCAGAATTCATATCGAAATGCGTGGCACATAAAAATGAATAGATTTCTATCTTGAATTCTACGGCCAATTATCGTCTAAAAAAACCGCGAGGGGAACGTTAATGAATTCTCTCTTTCAATTACGTGCATCTTGCGTTTTCCGGAAATTAAACGAAAATGTAATGTCGATGTATAATCATATATGCGACTCAACAGCATCGAGCGAAAAAAAAACGTGGCTCGTTTCGCATAAAACTGCGGATATTCCGAGCAGCAACTAGATTAGCCGTAATGACATGGGATATTTGTATAATAGTGCTTCTTTTTTAATAATAGCGGATGTAGCGAGAGCGATGAAGAAGTAAAGGATAATTTCCGGTAAAGCTTACGGAAAACGACTCGGCGGTATTCCGTTTGAATTATTTCGCTTCTCTCTTCTTTTCTTCGCCTTCGGTTTTCGCGCTATTGTTTTTCCTCGCTAGCTCGTATAACATTCATGATATTAAACTTACTCTGACGACGCCGTGATATTTATTTTGCGCGTCGTTTCCAGACTTTATCGCGTCTTTCACACGGTATTATGTTAGCTACGAGAAGCTTGAATAATATAATTAAATATAGAAGTATTTTTGCTCACTCTTTATTTCATGTAATGCATTTTGAAATTATATATGCAAGATGGTCTTACAGTTACCGTTATTAATAAGTCGTGTTTTACGTGTTACATTCCCAAGATGTTCCCCTCATAATTTGAAATCTATTCGCGTCGGGATTTCCAGCGCAATATCGAAAGAAAAACATTCGAGATTTAAAATACAAATATGCTATCGTACACATTGAAATTGTTATTAATCGCGAATATATATTGTTTTTTTGACCGGCCACATTTTCAGAAAATTGTGCGTTGCGCGAATCGACCTCGCAAGGACACCACGTCATCTGACGCTCGCTCTCAATTTCGAGTCTTTTCCCGTTTGAAAAAAGCGAATTCGTCGCGTGACGTTTCGCGACGATTTTCGCGAGTCTCGTTACGTCCTGCACCGATTTTTCTTTTTACGAAACGAAACAAACGACGCTTAAATCTTACGCGAAAAACTTCTCCAGAAATGTAAGTCGCTGATTGAATAGACGGCGATTCCGCGTTTCTTTTCACGGTATGGTTATCGACGCATCAGGTGTCAGTCACTCCGAGTCGAGAGAACGTCGAATTTCGCGTGCACGACGCATGTCATACGCACACACTGATACCTCATCTTCGTCGCAACAACAATATCAATGCGACGCGAAAAAAAACAACAATCACACGTTGCGATAAATTCCGCGAACGCGTATAAATAGGACAATCCTATTCTGGGAATAAGCGCGAAACTTGTCAACAAAATTTTTGTCGTCAACCATTTCTCGAGATACTCGTTAAAAATCTCTCTTTGATTCGGAGCAGAAACAATAATCGCTACTCACCCGGTGTTGCGTTGATCGTGGCAATTTCTTGGCACTTGTGACCCGTGGTCGACGACGTCTTGGTTCGTCCCACGCAGCTTATCACCGTTTCGCAATCAGTCAAGAAGTTGCGAGGATGCTTCAAATTTCTTCATCCTTCGTAGCGTCGATGTATTCCTCGAATCACTCGCGACACGACACGACAAAGTAAGACGCACGAGCGTACGCGGACACGCACGGATTCGAACGCTGCGGAAGCAACCTGTCCGAACGCTCCCATCAGTCAGCTGATACTGACGACGTCACCGTGACGTCGTCACGCCGCCGGGAGGAAAACAGGTGACCGCGAGTCGCGCGTCATCTCGCGGCGCCGCACGGCAGCTCGAGCGGTTGCATCTCCCACCGACAGATGACGCTGTTTCGTGCGCGCGTGTTCTTGCGATATTCTCGATTTTAACAGCGACACCGAAACGAGATATTTCGATTAAATGATGATTAACTTGATCGTACAGGCATAATATGAGAAGCGCCCGATACTTTCTTTGCCACTCCCGATGCTATACTTTATCTAGCGATATTTATTAGTTATATTTATTAAAACTACTTAAAATCGTAATCGAACACGATGAGCTAAAAGTGATTCTTGTTACCGTAATGTCGTCTCGTAAATAACGATGACTATCATAGCACATAATCACATCGATCGAGTTCCTTCGATCTGCGATGCTCCATCGCGTAATCGCGTGAATAATTATCACAAGCGTTTCGATGTTATAAATAATCGCGCACAACGCCAAAAACACTGGATGTCTCGACTTTGGACGCAGGTACACTGTGGTCCAGTTCCGAGATTCCTTGCATTTTAGGCGAATCAAACATGGCTGTCGTGACGTAATCAGCTATTTTATATTAAACGTGTATGCATATGTCGAATGTAAATATATATTAACGTACGAGTGAGAGTGATAAGTTTGGACAAACTCTCGCGATAGCACTAGTGAGAAAATATTTCAAACAAAATGTCATAAAAAGGTAGAAAAACGTGAGAGTGGCGAGAAGAAAGACTTGCTTTTCTTTTCTTTTTTTGCGCGCGAAATCCACACAATTTAAAAAATAATCCATTGTTCAATGTCATCGTTAAAACCTTAATATTTTTCCATTTTTTAAACGTTACGGAGTTTATAATATTTCCAAGAGAAAAGAATTCATTATTTAATGAATATTTAATGAAGATTTAATGAATATATTTGCTGATAATTAGTGGTAAGAATTATTTAATGGCAATCGCGTTCTCTCTTTTTATATTGTCGCATTTAATAAAAACTAACGCTCGAATAATTCACATAGGACAGACGGATTTAATATTATATATATTTGCGTGATATAAACTCGGAATCGAAAATCGAGGTGATTTCTGCCTTTATTTATGTGACATGTGTATTAAAAACGATTGAAAGAAAAAATGTAAACAGTTCTTCGTCGAAACAGTTTCTATCGATATATTATTCTCATAGCGAATCAAAGTCGTCAGTCGTAGAGTTTGGTGGTTAAGAACACGCACATGTACGATCGGAACGATAAAATTTCCTTATCATATTAACGAGCATCATAAAGAGAGATTAAGAAGATGACGGCAATAGTAAAATGTCGAATTTTGATTGGTATGTACGTGACAGGTGTATTTTCCATGTAAAATATATTATATGCATGTAGAAAAAAATATGTACTAACATGTTATAAAATCTATTTGAAAAGATACGTTACGTATAAAATATTTTCATTATTTGTTCGCTAAGTTTATTAAATGCGAAGGTTAAATGTAGCCATGTATCTTATCCAATACCTTTAATTGCTATTATAATTATTTTATATAGCATAACGATATTGTTTACTTTTCTAATGTATTAAAATTACTTTCTACAATTAATGCGAGTATTTGAATCAAATTATAATTTAAGAAATACATCTAATTTATAGACTGTTTATCATATATATTCTAAATTAATAAAATCTAATTATTATAATTATTTATTGTATAACAAAAACACATACACAAGCATATATATATATATATATATATATATATATATATAAAGTTTTAATAATTTTATTATAATTATGCAGTATATGTCGAAAACGATGTACGGGCAGATATAACAGCATATAGAACAAACATGAGCGATTTGATACGTTATATTAAAAATACAATAACGCAGAAATTTGACGTAGAAGTAATTGATATATTGCTATCATTTGATGACATGATGGTAACTAGATATTTTAAATGTTCTTTTTACGTTGTTAACGTTTTATGTTATGTTGTTATGTTCAATATACTTTCAATATATTTTACTTTATTTTACTTTATTTCAATATATTTTAATTTATTTATATGATATAGACGCAAATAAATGCTTGGTGCAATGAATTTGTTGATACTATTTTTGTTATTGGTTATCCATATTATGTTAATAAATATAAGAATTTGCTTGGAAAACTATATAATAAAAATATAACTAAGTTTATAGAAAATAAGATTATAGAAAAAGTTGGAAACAATTTGACTAAACATATTAATAATAAAGAACACGCATATATATTAAAAGCAATACAGGCGAAATTAGAATCCAAGTTTCATCGGTAAAATTTTACTTTTACATATTTTATATCTTTTTATTTTTCAAATTATATAACAATTTAAATGCATTTCCTCAGAAATATATGTGGCATTCTAAAAAAAACGCTCATCATTAATTTATTTGGCTTCAATAAAGCAGAAGCAGTAATATGCATTGATATAATTGTAACAATAATGGAGCATAAATATATAGTACGATTAATGAAAGAGGACGAAGAAAATAAAGAGAAAATAAATCAAGCTACTCCATGTTCTTCAAAAGAAACTACTATATCTTCTTCAAATAATACAGATCAGGTAAGATTTTTTTTGCTTTAGAAACAATGTAATAATTTTCTATATGCAATTAAATATTTTTACAGATAGAGGAAGATGAGATCAAATCCCATGAAGAATCAGATACAGACGAGGTACGACTTATATATTAAAATAAAATAATAAGAGAGGGAAAGATTGTATATAAGAAAAGCGATTAAACATGCAATTATATCTCTTTATAGGAAACTGTTAGGTGGGATGACATGCAACAATTGGTTTCTCAATTATCTTCACCTATAACAAAGGTAAAGTATCTTTCATATCAAAAACAATAGAGTAATGACGGAAAGAAGAAGAGAGAAAAAGATTTTATGAAATTTTATATGCAATTAAATCTTTTTTAAGGAAAACGACATGAATAAGAAGAAACGCCATGTTCATTTTGCTTCTGATAAATTGAAGAAAATGGTAAGGTATTTTAGATATAATGAAATATTAGATATAATGAAATACGAAAAATTTTAGAATTGATATATATATATATACACACACTTGTGTTTACATACAATTTGATCATTTTATAGATGGAAGACGAAAGTAAAGCAAAACATTATAGCAATCTTATTTTGATAAATTTACAGAAAAATTATTTTCTAGAAATAACAAAAATAAGACGAAATAAGAAATTTTATGAAATTTTAATTATTTAAAATTTTTTTAGATAAAATTGGATCAAATCCCCAAACTTTGCGAGATATTGCCTATAGATTTATCTGAAGAACAGGTAAAATATTTTTATATTAGAAACTTTAAACGAGAAAAAAAAAGAAATTTTATGTAAGATTGTATGTATGCAATCTTATAATTATAATTATTAAATTGCATGTATACAATCTTATTATTATAATTAGATCCCTTTACAGTTGGATGTTGCGTGTGAAACCACTATTGGTGCGAAATCATCTTCGTCTAACAATGAGACATTTAAAACTGAGGTAGGCAATTTTTAATACTTCCTATATTAGAAATAATAAGAAATCTTTTTATAAGATTATGTATAATTAAATTTCTTAACAATTTTTTTTACAATTAATGATCGCTGAATTGCTTTGTCAAGACACTATCATCGTTTGATATATCAATGATGGAGCAGGTAAATTATTTTCTATATAAAACATAATAAGAGATTTTATGAAATTATAAATGAAATTTTAAATCTCTTCACAGTTAAGCATCGCATATCCAGACGAGGAATCTTCTTTGCTTGAAGCCGCGGACGAGGTGAGCTATTTGTTACATTAAAGACGATAAAAGAAATATTATGCGAGATTGCATATACAATTAAATTTCTTCACAGAAACAGGAAGACATGATTTGTCAACAATATCCCATGATTGCTGTAAAAGATGCATTGTTGAAAATACAACGAAAAGTAAAATACGGTAGACACGAACCATTAAGTGATTCTATAAGGACAGATGATGCTTATGGCAGAATATTGGCCGACCACGTATATTCCGATTGCGATGTGCCAGCATTTAGATGTGCCACTAAACATGGATACGCAGTATTGGCAAGTGATGGTGAAGGCATAAGAGTATTACTGAGCGGAACTACAGTAAGTTGTGATGTTAGAAGCTATACAAAATATACAGCAATAGGCTAGAATTAAACAAAAATTTTTTGCAGTCCGATCCAATATCTCTCATTCCTAGAACATGCATGTATGTGAAGAGCGGAGCGCGTGTACCTGACGGTGATAATTTAATTACAAACTAATTTAATTACAATTAACGAGTCTCTCTGCAAATTAATGCTTCTCTCTATTTGCAGTAAAGAATTAATTATTATTTCTGTATCTGATTCCAGAAGCAACAGCGGTTGTGCCAATTAAGGATGTAAAACGAATAATAATATATGATGACGCGCATGATTTAATTCTGATAAAGATTAAACCAGAATTCGGGCAGAATATTAAGTATGAAAAAAATTCAATATTTTTCTATATATATGTATATATATTCATTTCCAAATATTATCTTTTTAAATTTCGTATATAATTTTTTAATATTATCTCTTTAAATATTGTTTTCCTTTTCATCTGAACGCTTTTTATATATTTTAAAGAAATATCGGTAGCGATATACCGAACGGGAAACTAATTATATCCCCATTCACACGTATTGGTCCAGCGGAATTAGGACTTTTGGCGGCTACAGGTCGTAAAGAAGTTCGAGTCGTTAAACCTGTATCCATAGGTATATTGTCAATTGGAGATTTATTAGAGGAACCTGGAGAGCCTTTAAGACCGGGATATGTTTACGATAGCAACAGAATAAGCCTAATCGCGCTATTAAAAGATCAAGGTTTTAATTCGATAGTGGATTTCGGAATTGTGACGGATGAGTGAGTGCATCGATATTTATTACGTATTTCTTGCCATTCTCATTATATTTGATTTAATGTACAAATGATTAATATTTTTATTATTTTATGATTAATGTAACAAAAAAAATGAAAAATTAATAACTGACATTTCGCAGTATACTACCTATAAAGATGAAAATCAAAGACGCTTTAAAGCAAGTGGTCGTACTCGTGACAATAGGCTGCTCGAACGATAATGATTTATTGAAGCCCATTTTAAAGAATGACTTTGACGCCACTATACATTTTGGTACTTTTATTTCTGAATACACATTGCAGTAACAAAATATACAAAAAAGACGGCTGTTTGGGATGTATAGAATTATACATAAAAAATGTGTCGAAAATTTCAAGAGTGATAAAATTAGAGTTTAAAAGTTTAAATTAAATAAATAAATAAATTATTAAAATATTTATCAGTTCCACACAAGTAGCAATTTTTAAGATATAAAAATTTAAATTCATAAATATAAATGACAATTTAGCATTAAATTACTCTTTATGATTTAAATACTATTTCTTGGTATAAAAAATATCAAATTTAATGTTTCAAACTTTCATGCTGTAATTTTATTATCCTCAAAATTAGTCACATCTTGTATACATATATTTTTTCAGGAAATGTATTTCTGAAACCGGGAAAGTCGACAACGTTCGCAACATGCAAGTTTGACGACAAACTGAAGTATCTTGTATGTCTTCCTAAAAATCCAGTGTCTGCTTCCGTTTCCGCGCATCTGTTCCTCTTACCTATTTTGAACAAGTTGCACCACATCAAAATGCCTTGCGAAATTCCAGCTCGCGTAAGATTCAAAATTTGAAATGAAAGGAGATATGTGCGCGTATATTTATAATGTTATTATAAATCATATTGCAGATACACGATCGATATATCTTGCATTCGCGTCCTAGAGCGGCATGGGCGACTTTAAAATGGAATGAGGAGGATAATTTCGCGACGGCTTTTAGCAGAGAAAATGTCGACAGTGATAAGTCATCGAGCAGTCAAGCCGCTAATGCGCTCTTACTGTTGCCGCCGCAAACAGAGGATCAGAAGGTGATGTATGAGTCATTTGTACCTGCGTGTCCAATCAAATAATTAGGCGTTAATAATAAATGCTTCTAATGGATTATCATCAATAGCATTTTATGACGAAATAATTGCGTACATAATTAGGTATATTCGATTACGTATATATTATATGTATATATGTTTATATATAAAGTGTTCGGTAATAACCATCGAAAATCGTTAAATGGGGTACAGAACTTTTTTATTAAATTTAACACGTTCCACCTGTACACGAGAGGTGATACGATTATTATTGGACACACCTTGTATATATTAATATTGAGTAAAACAATTATTTTATAATTTGAATAATGCAACTTTTAAATAATGTTGTATACGAGAAAAAGCTTGTCAATATATCTCGTTTTAATTGGAGGAAAGAACTGGATATGTTACATTGCTTTATGTAAAACTTGGAATCATTTTTCCTTTAGCGAAGACAGATAACTGAAAGATTACAAGGTTCTCAAACTTCACTATTTATTGGTTGGTAATTCAATGTCCAACTAAAATCTATTATATATATTCGAGATTATGTACACACACACACACATACACACGCACGCACGCACGCACACACACACACACACACACACATGTATTGTACTATATAATACTACATATGTGTATCATACTCTACATGTATATATATTATATAAATTATATATATTACATATATTATATATATATACATATATATATATATACAATTATATATATTATATATATTATATATATACAAATAATATATATATTATACAAATATATATATATATATATAATTATATATATTATATATACATACATACATATATATATATGTACAGACACACACACACACACACACACACACACACACACACACACACACACACACACACACACACACACACACACGAAGTGTCTAATAATAATCGAAAATGGCAAACAGGACATTTCTATTCAATTTAACACGCTCGACCTATACACAAGAGATGATACAATTACCGGACAAATCAATATTGAATAAAATAATTTTTAAACAATGTATAAGAAAGAACGCTTGTAAATATATATGTCGTAATTGGTGAAAAGAATTGGATTTATTACGTTGCTTTATGTAAAACTTTTGAAATCATTTTCTCTTTAGCGAGGACAAGTCGCTGACAGATTTTAAACTTCTCAGACTCCACGACTTATTGTATCACTTATTGTTAGCTTGGTAATTCAACTTTCAATTAAAATTCTATTAAAGACTTCTATCAAGACATTTCAAATTAAGGAATACGTAATAAGTCGTTTGGTTCTCTAAAATTTCATTAGTATGAAAAACATGGTTTAACTGATTTGCAGAATTTATACTTCAAAAATTATTAATGCTTTTAAATATTAATATTGTTAACATTTTAAACATTAACACTGATGATAACTAATGGGTTTTTAATGAGATTTTTAATGAGATTTCAGAAAAAAATGTTCATATATATTTATATACCTTCTTTCAATTTTGGATATAAGTGTCATAATGTAATTTTAATGTAATGTAATTTTAATTCACACTGCATGTATTGTGTAATGTGATGATAACTTTTGTTTATCATTTTATCATTGAAATTATTTCTGTCATCAATAAAATATGATATTTGTATATATTTGTGTCTAAAATACATTAATAATTATATTTTACCATATCATATATGTGTTAGTAATGATGTTTATAACACATTAAAAATGTTTCAAATCTTTGCAATATTATAATTCAACATATAAAATCACTTAAAATTTGTAGAACGGAGGAGAAGAAATTATAATAATATTCAACAGAACAAGAAAGAAGAAAAAAGAAAAATAAAATCACATTAATATCACAAAAATCGAATCGCACTTTTAATTTATTCTAATATTCGGATTATGTTTTTGCATTAATATTTTTTCTTTTTTCATAAAACTCCGTTTTATTTAGATTCTTTGCATTTTGCTTCCTTTCTGCCGCTTCCTGATAGCAAATATAAATAAAAATTAAATAAAGCACGTAAAAAATTAAATAAAAAATAAAAATTGGTTTCAAAGTGGGGAATGTAGAAAAAAAGACTGCAAACAAAGCGAAAAAAAACAGATGTCATTAGGACATCCAATAATTAGTATAGTATAATAACAGCGAGTAAATTGTGAAGTTTTTTAATCCATGAAAAAGACTGTAATACTTCTTGTAAATCCATTCCAGATATTACTTGAATAACAACGTCTAACAAAGTCAAAAAATTACAGCATACATTGGATTAAAACGACTTGTAATTTACTGCCTCATGGAAAAGCAGGAAATACTGTAAGTCGAGAAGGAGAGAAAGAGAGAGAGAGAGAGAAAAAGAGTACCAGGTTACATCACATTTTCCTTTTTCCAACAACGGCTTTACGTAATTGTACGCCACGTTTCCTCGTCGACGCGTAAGTTTAATGAAAGTTCGACGTGCCTTAATGACGTTCGGTATCTTTAAATCGATACTCCATTATAATCGACGTCGTTGCTTGACTGACGCGCTAACGAGAACGAATCGATCCCGGTGGGGTTGAAGGGTGGTTTTCAGTTAGTTTCTAGGAAAGCTACCGATTCATACCAAATCGTTCGAATTATCCTTCCTTGGTATTGTGCAACGTGCACTGATGTTCAATGAAATTGGAACTGCGAAAGAAGACATTCAATCCCGAGATATATCGATTTAAAAAAGGAAAAGTAGATTTATAAGAATGTAATATATTTTTTTTTTTAATAAAAAAGAAATTTGAAAGATGCTTGTATAAAATATATCGATAAATAGGTAGTTATAAATGATTTAAAAGACTTAATTAACAAAAATACGCTAAATGTTTCGCCCTCAAGATATTTAATTATTTTTTTTACTATAATAATATACAATGTAACATTTTATTTTTTTATATTAAACTCTTGATGCAAATGACAAAGGTACGAATCCGAAATTCTCCAGAAATATCGCGTCGAGGTATTATTACAGTTCCACAATACATTTCCATGGTGGAGTTCCAATTCTGTTGAACAGTAATTTGCAACATGCAACAATGAAGAGAAAGGTAAGAGGAAGGAGCGAGAGTAACAGGAGCGATCTTCGTTTTGTAATCGCGCGGCGAATTCGGCCAAAAGTTACGATCCCCATCAAATATTTGACTTTAATCTTCCGCGTATATAATCATAAACATTCCATTTCCATCAAGCCCATCCATCGCCGCCCAATTCGCGAGCAATTTAAAAACTTTAATCGCGAAAACTGCGGAACAATAGCGGACAGGCCGCGTGCGGAACAGACGCGAACAAAAGATACTCATTATACATAGACGTGGTATAGAAAACGCGTAGCATCCCTTTCATCCAAAATTACGCAATTAACGGTAACAATAATGGCTCGAAAACACAACACCTTAGGTGATCAGAAAAGCGGAGAAACGAAAAGCGTGAGAAGAAATCGGGCCGAAATTTTCTGACAACTATATATTCGCGATTATAATATTCGTTCGCGCAAAATTTGACTCCAAAATTCATAATTCACCATCAATTGCGATGACGCAATTGATATTCGTCGTGGAGCGATATAAAATTAGGTGACATTTAACGATTCGCTGATGGATATTATTGTAATTGTAATAATAATAACAATAATAATAATAATGGCATCGTCAAATGCTGCGGATTGGAAAATCACCGAGTAAATCCGAGAGACAAACTGGAAAATAATAAACAATTATTATTATTTTGATAGTAATAACGCAATGTAACGAGCGAATTTATAGTTTCCATGCTCGTGCATTTCCAGAATCGTTAATCTTTGCAATGTTTATCTGAAATTCCATCGAGAATTTTTATCTCGCAACACCGAGTATGCTATTTTGCATTTTTGACGTGCCCGCTTTAATATTTTACGTGTCGAGTATTCGATTTTCGTTGAAAAAAAATTTATTCATTATTTATTTATTATTAATTATATCGCACGAGACACACACACACACACACATACACACACACATACACACAATGTTAACGGGTGGGTTTTTTGTTTCATTTCATCCTTGATTAAGTACAGATTCGCTTCATTTTTTTTTAACGTTCATTATCACATAGATGAAACTCTCGTTAAGTGAACCCGATTACCACAATCGATCGAGATTTCGCTTTATCCCCTATCGCTATCGAAAGTCGATCGGGGTGGTTGGAGTTCAGCTGGAGAAAACTTTAAAGCCATACATTGGGAGTAGAGCGGTCAAGCTTAGCGCGACGGTGGCCGTTATTTTTCGCTTTTTATCTCGCAACAAAATTGCCTTACGGTTGCCTTTGAAAAGCGTCGACTAGATGCTGAGAAGCGGTATTATGTTAATGTTACGTCAGCGGAAAAAATGAAAACTAACGGCTTTTTGCACTGAGCGACTCTTTGCTCTTGCAGCATATTTCGCATACGGTAATATTAATAGGGATATTTAACACCGAGAAAATTAAAGAGGCACAAAAGAAAAGGTTTTTGATTTTTTAACAAAATTTATTTTTAATAAAAAAAATTTTCCGTGAGTTTATCAAAGGATTTTGCGCCTGCGAAATTAGTTTCATTTCACGCTGAATTATGTTTATGCTGCGATAATATATATAATATTCGTATCATGCCACATATATACATTTATATAAAAATACATACAATTTGTTTTCATTATGAAAATAAACGTTGTTTATAATTTACTATAATTTACTTTATACTTATATTTAAATTTTATTTTCTATTAATTTGTATTTGATTTATATTATATATTTTTATTTCATATTAATTTTATATTGTTCTTTTATATTTATCTTTATCCTTTTATTATATTTATCTTCTTCTTTTATCTTATTTATCTTTATCTTTTATTATATTTATCTCCTTACACTTTACCAGAGAAAGAGAGTGCAATGGTTACAAATTTGTAAACGTAACGAGCGACAATATCTCGCGGGCGACATTCAGATCTTTTAATGGCGGCAATTATCGGTCGGGAAACGAGGAAGCATGCCTCCCAGAATCGGAAAACGCAAATCGATGCGTACCTGAGCGTCACGTCGCACCTGAGCTTCCTGCTAATTAAAAACCTCCCAAGCTCGCGACCTAAACCGCGAATCGAATCGAAAGTTAAACAAATGTCGAATCTAATTCCGCCACGCGTCAAAGCGCCAAATCATATTTATCGTAGGTACAGGTGTTTCAAAATTTGAAATCTGTTGCTTCTCTGCAACGAAGT